TGAAGTGGGGGATCGACCCATGAAGTCGATGAAGTGGGTGATCGACCCATGAAGTCGATGAAGTGGGTGATCGACCCTGCAAGTATATAAAGTGGGGGATCGACCCTGCAAGTATATCAAGTGGCGGATCGACACTGCAAGTTGATCAACTGACGGATCAGTCAATCTAGTCGATCTGAATATCCTGAGTATTACTATTTTGATTACTATTGCGACTACTGTTGCGACTACTAATTTTTACTATGGATCTCGTAAAGTAATGGATGAAATTACGTTACATATTTTGTAAATAATTATTACAGTTTTCATTTTCGATCTATTACAGGCAAATAACACACACACTCTCTCTCTCACAAAAACACACATTGACATTTTCGTAGAGAAACAAAATATTTTTATATTTTTAGTTGTTATATTTGATTAGTTATATAATGACACGTTCTGTACACGCAGCAAACTGTTGGGAAGTGCAGGTGTTGCGGTTCAAGTGCCCGAGAGCGGGCGTTAGTCTGGGTGCAGCTCTCGGAATGCACGTAGCAAGCGGAATTTGTTGTACACGGTCAAAACAAATTTTCAAATGTGTTTGCCGACCGGCCATTTTCCAGCGCGTAAGACACTGTCACGTGAACTAGCGGTGTATAAGTTAGCGGCGAATATCGCTTGGCGGGTTTCGATAACGAATGAAATCTTCTTGCTGATGCTCATTTGTCCACCTATGCGGTTGTGCTCGCAAGCCTCGACTATGCGAGTTGTCTCTCATGTCATGGGACTACAGGCCAGAAGCGCGACGCGAAATAAGTTGAAATTAATTGTTCAAACAATCAATGGCAAAATACTATCTTTCTTACTTAAGGGAGTGAAGGGAGGCATGACTTCGATACATGGGACAGACACGCATTCTAAAGCCAGCGTTTATGTGTTGAACGCGAGACACAGAGACACAGAGGCAGATCGTTATAGAAATGAAATTGGTAGAAGCCAGAACAGGTCATGAACCCATCCTTGGAGTAGAGGAGAAGAAGATTATCATAAGAGTGTCAACTCTGTTATTTGTTAATACGAGCATAACTGCGTCATCACAGGCCAGTACCCATAAAGCTAAAAAAGAATACTGTTATTTTTCAATTGCTGAATTATTTGCAGAGCTAAAAATTATTCTTAGACGTAACACCGCTTTAACCGCTGGGCCTGGCCGTTCCACCGCGGTGACAGAGGGCCCACAACGGGCGGGTGGGTGACGCAACGGCGTAGAAGAGGTAGTGGGGGGGCGAGGTGTTTTCGTAAATTTCACTTTACGACGCTCCTATTCGTCCGATTTGCATGATTGTCTCGGCGTTGGATTCAGGGAGCATGTCGCCATCGCGCTATAAGCCACATTTTTAAATTTGTTCTCGGAAGTTTGAGAACTAATTTCAAATTCGCGTTTTTGTTAGATTTTTGGAAAAAGGTTAACATAGTGTAAATTCTATTTGAAAAAGGTGTCAAATGCCGTTTACAGATCGAAAATCAAACCATTGGTTCAGACGTTATCGGTAAAGTAAGTTTTACTTATTTTGGTGCTGCCACGTGGTTTCTACAAATTGTACTATTGTCGGAACATTTAGCCTTAAATCAAAACTGACTTCAAATTATTTACCCTACAGAGCTTGCGCCATATTTTGAATTGTTGGAAGTTATGACGGAGTGTGTGTAGCCCTCGTAGCCAAAAGCGGATAAGGCGAAAGTATAAAGGCCAGATAAGGAACATTCATTGAAAAGAATATAGGTTGTTAAACTTTTAATGATGTACTGTTAACAATGAAAGACTAATTTGTCTTAAGTTTTAAGAAACACTTTTTAACAAATCGTATGAGTCACAACAAACGGACGTGGAGAGATCAAACGGACGTTTTGAATCTAACATTTTTTTTGGTTTTAATGGGCACCGAAACGTGGAATTCCTTGTTGAAATCGATTATCTGCAAGTTTTGCATGATTTCCTTCATACTACACACTTAACTCCGTTCATAGTATTTTATTCATAGTATTTTCATAGTATCCTAATTTATACTTACGTATACAAGATTGTAATTATATTTATTTATTATAATTATTGACAACCACAATGATAAGTGCCAAAGATGTTTTCACATAATTTTATTCACTTATGTTATGACGTTTATGAGACTGTTTTGTCTCCCTCATCAGGTACAACTGAAAATTTAATTACATTTTTATGAAACCAAAATGATTAACACAAAATTACAAAAATAAGAAATGAATGTAAACTGTACCCAATGTACATACCTCACCTGTACATAAGTGAATAACCCGTTACATAAGTGAATAAAAGTATTACGTGAAAACATTTTTGGCACTTATCATTGTTGTTGTACTTAATTTAAAATAAGGGACTGATCAAAAAATTAACAGAATTACATTGTGACAACCATTTGAAAACTTAATCCTAATAAGAACGTAATTACTAGGACTACAGAAGAGCACATGTTTTATCAGACTAGAATTACATTGAGTATACAGCTTTATATTGTATTATTTAGGTATTTCAAATATTATGAAAATTTTTTCGCATATATCTCACATCTGTAATATTTATATCGGCGCCGAATCTCGCCATACAGCGAGGGCAAGATCGCCGCCACCTCCCGAAAAAAAGCATGTACCACACTTACGGGTCTAATGACCCTGTTAGTTGACGTACCCAGAATCACTAAAACAATCAATCAATTAATTGTTGTTATTCTGTATTTTCCACAAATTATTTCATTGACATAACTGCTTAAGTATTATTTTAAGTTTACATTGTGAACTTGGTATTAATTTAAGAAAAATATTTTTTGTTCCACGTATGCAGGTAAACATGTAAATAATGTGAAGGCACACACAAAATGAAAAATACATAAAATAGAACATTTTATGATTGAACAATGTCAATACTTTATTAAGAAGTAGATTATTTGATATTTTACCTCTAAGGCGCTGGATGAATTTGAATAGTCAATAGGTTCGCACCGCCAACTGTAGGTCGCAAGCCAAAACTGAGACATACCCTGGAAAGTTCATCAAATCATCAATGCGAAACACAAAACAAAAAAATTATTAAAGATAAAAATGTTAAGAATTATCCTTATGTAATACTCGTTTTCTTTGCTCTCTCATATTCTCAAATTTTACATTGTATATAATATAGTCATTTATATACTTAGCTCTTCTTAAGTGATACTTTAAGAACAGGATCGGCGGTGGCGAGATGTTTGTCCATTCATAGGAGCAGCGAGAACAAGCTAAACTTTAAATCATATTGCGTTTTAAATTTTTTACTCATAAATTGGATTATTGATTAAACAGATTAGTTACAGTTATAAGTTGCTGACAAAGAGTCATTAAGAAACTGAGATTGCTCCCTGTCAGAATCTCTAATATTAGAGCAATGAATTTAAACCTGACCGTCCGCTCTTGGTGACTCAACCTGCCGCAGCGTTCGCAATCCTCGCTGTTTTCACAAACTCGGCTGTTCGGCGCTTTTCGCCATGTCTAGCAAAATGTGCCGTCCAAACTTGAGTAAAAGCACATTATGCGTATCATACGAGCAGCTCGGTCCAATTTTATGCTAGTAATACAGTAGATACGTGCGCAAACAGCTAGCGATCCTTCTGGAGACAATCAAAACTACGGGCAGCTGCTACTAAAGTGTACGAATTTGTTTGTGAAGTCAAATTTATTAAGAGCTTGTTAAAACTAAAAAGAAATATTGGTGTTGTTACTAGACCTCGTGGTTTTATATTCACATGATTTCAAGGGCAATTCATTAAATAACTGGTAAAATTAGATAGGACTAACATTTTAACGATTTATTTGAGTTGTATCGGAACACATTTGATATGCACCTACTGAATTCTTGTACTTTTCAAACATTAATAAACAGCAATATCCAGTCTCATTTTGACCTCCATGGTGGCCAGATCCGGCCAGGTGGCGCCGTCAATCCAGGCAAAATCACATTGCGAGTGCTTTACCGACTCCCTTATCGGCGCCGTGTAAGCGACTCCGACTGATCTCTCGGTGCGTGTTGCGGTTCGTCATGAGTCGGGCTCAGCGTGCGGGCATTGGTTTACTACCTCACAGCCAGGCTTCAACGATACCGCAAACGCGGAGTCACGGAGGCGATAAGGTACGCCTTGAGCAACGGCTATGAACATGAGTCAAGACGTGTCATCATCTGTCGGTAAATGTTAATGTTTTGAGATTTCATTTATTTGTCATATAAATGGTGCTATGGTCGTAGTTATGCGTGACAACACAGCATCGACCTGTCAAAGTGGCTTATAGACTGCCGGAACTGTAGCTGGTTGCCAATCATGTTGAACGTGATGCATGTGGAGTAATTGTGAAGTGAAGTGATATTATGTTCAAGTATGTTAAAAATTATTTTTCTTTGTGTGTGACACTCATGGAGTCACCTCGAGTTCATCAAATAACAGGAGATCAGAACAGTCAGACTACTATTAATCATGTCCAAATTACTAAGCAATTCCTCTTTCTCAAGGAAGAAAATGCTATTCTATCGATTTTTTCCCAAGTATCCCGTATCAAGGGATTGAAGAAAAGTTATTAACATTCGGAGTTAGAACTGTAGTACCATTAACCGGTGCGGTATTTAATAACTCCAACTTGAACCATATTCACAGTTTTCGCTACCAAATATTTGTTTCACCGGATGTTGAACATAAATTATCCGAATCATTTCAAGTCCTTGTAGATCATGTCCCATATTGAATACATGAAATCCTTGATGTTCCTTTTTGTGTAAAAATCAGGGTCACGAAACTTATAACTGCCCAAATCCATGTTACTGGCAATTAACTATTGGCCTACATCTTCTTTTGGAAGTAGAAATCACAGAATCAGCTAAGAGATTACTGATAAATCTAGTAATGTTTCTACCAAAGCTATTGAATCTTCACTTCCCGAGAGCAATAAGGTGAATAAAAATTTCAGTCTTAACCTTTCTAGCGACCCCCTTCATGCACCAGCGTTCAGCACTTCGCGTTATGTTCCATTCAAAAGGATATACTATACCTGCCGAACACTGGTGCATGAGAAGTATGTAACAGTCAGTGGTGTAGAAGAGTTCATGAAGAGTTTGTTAAAGTTACAGTACTCGTGGAAAGAATATAAATAGTTGCTCTTATAATACAACGAAGAATAGAATGCAGACATAACGAGAGCAAAATTACTATGTTCTGCGTTATTATATACTGATAAAACGACTGGAATAAATTTCCTAGTGATAAAAGATCACTGACCTCCATTAATGTAATATTATTTTAAATAGAAAGGAATAAAGGTCGATTAACAGCTGCCTAATAAGTAAAGGCAAATTTCACAAGTGACGTGGTTTTATGAACGTTTCCGCCACAGAGAGTGATCATTTTCGATCCCTCTTCATTTCTAGAAATTCGCATTATTTATTCTGCACATATCTATGGTAATAGATGTACATTATTTTGCGCTTGACATTAGGTTGGGCACTGCATCCGTCGGCGATGGAAGGCCACGTACCATGTAGAAGACGTAGGCGTTGGCGAAGATCTGCAGGGCGTTGTACACGATGAGTGTCCTTTTGAGTTTAAAAGGCTTCCGGTCGCGCATCATCCAGGGGCCCAGACGCGTCACAAACAACGTGTAGCCTGCCATCAGCCCCAATATCGTGAACGGCCGCATCGCCAGCGGCAGAGGCTGCACACGGGGATCTGGAACGACGCAACGTGCACAAGGTACGAGCTTCTTTACGATTCAATTATGACTCATTGTACGAGGCGCGACTCCGGCCATCAGGCCAGATCTTCCCTCTGACTACGCAAATGTCGACACGACATTTTCACCATCTAGAGGAGAAAGAACAGTGTCAGAAATTTCCGCATTGCTTTAATGAAATGTACAATCAAGTAGTTATCATGAACGCACATTAAATTCAATGTACGCATGTACATTAATACGCAAGAGTAAAAGGTTAATGGTTATATCTGGAAGGAAAAAATGAATTATCTTCATGGACTAGTGATTATAAATACATAATACGAATGACGAGGGAGGGAAAACGAGAGAACCTCTACATTAAATCTACACCTATTTTTATTTGTGTATTAAATGTAACGTACAAATATTTTAAGCTGTTCGTTTAGTTTCCTTTTATACTCGAAAACCTTTTCCATGCAGTAAACTTACGACATGGAACAACCAGCGTTGCTTCCCCTCCGAATGAAGACCGAATGGAGAGTTTGAAGGAAGCATTAAATAATGTCTAATCCAGAAGAAATAATTGGACGTTCAGAGCTCCCACATCGTAAAATAACTTCATTATATTGGCATTTTTTTCAAAAATAGGAACCGAAACAAATTTCCGTATTTTTATTTGTATTCGAAATAGGTCGAGTTCTGTCGCTGTTTAGAGGAGAATTCTAGCGGCCGGCTGCTCTGATCGGCAGTTTTCTGTAGTGTCTCCGATAAACACCAGGCGAATGCCGGAGCAGTACCAACGGGCCACGGAATTTTCTCGATCTTTTCTTATTCTGCTTTGTTCTATCATCATCCCTTACTTTCACAAAATGACGCTCATATGCACTACACTACCACATTCATGCCGGGAGACCGGTCAGCAGCTTAGAGCTTGTCCCGGCTGGGGTGGGTCCTGCTGGTGGGAGATACGTGGTTAGGGAAAACTCTGCTCGCTAGACGACGGTAGGGCGGCGCTGGATCTTACCCTCCAGAGGGGAAACACATACACTACACGTACGGGACTATTACCTTCAGCAGTTACCGCGCACGGAATTACTAACAATCCATCAATCATAAATTTTAAGTATTTTAAAGCCATACATAACAGAATTTTTTTAAAATTTGAATTTATTTAACCAAAGTCCTTTTTACACCGAAAAACAATCTTTAAGAGACCAGTTTAGTTGAAGATACTAATCGTAAATGAAATGGTGTAGAGGTGTTTTTTTTTACGAAAGATATCAAAGAATAGATCGACAGCTATACAGAGACACACAGATAGAGAAGCTCTATACAAAGCTTCCTAGGTTGCGGCAGTGTGTTTCCACAGACAATAATAGTGAGAGAAATGTGTCATGAGAAAAAGTGCTGCGAGACGAAACTCAGACAACAATTGGGTGTTTCGCGGCGTCGCGGCGCTGTCGTAAGCTGCCCGCGGGTTGTGGGCTCTCAGCCTGCCGCCCAGCTACCCGCCCACTTCCGTCGCGCAGTGAACGGTCTGTCCGGTGCACATCGGCACACCAAAGATCTCCCAGCGATGCAACCCATCACAAAGATCAGTTCAAGCGAGTGTTCGATTGTATTTAGCACTTACTCAAATAAATATTTTTTCTTGACGTTCTCGCGTGTGCATGACTTTTACATTTTCCTATTTAAACAAACTAAAGGGCAGTACTCATATTCAAATTATAGGCAATAAAGAGTAGTTACCAATATCGAAAATTTAAAAAAAGAAAAGAAACGTAAGTATCCAATGTAATACAACGTACGTATACTACTTTATTACTCATAATATTAAGTTTCAGTCAGGTTCAGATGAGTGGTTTGATGAATGAGTTTGAGTGGCATAAATGTAATGTAAAGTTTTGAGTGATGATACAGCGATGGTGAGGGACACAGAAAACAGAAAGTCCCAGAGTCAACCTACAGCAAAGCTTCTTTGTCCACATAAACCGAGTGAGATTTGTTCCCTGTCCCTGCAGAGGCACGCGAGTGCTCCGTTCTCTACACCAATAACCCTGACGCGGTTATCGTACCTGCCCATTCGTAATTGATGAATTGGTAGGTGTTGTGCAGGGCGGTCCAAATGGCAGCCATCTTCCCAGTTGAAGCAGTTGAGCCTTGCGAAGTGTTGTCACAGACACCCGCAGCCCCACTGCCACTGCACGCTGCCCTCGCGTCCTCTTCAGACGCTGCCCTCCCCGCCGCCCCTCTACCTCTTTACGTCGACCTTCAGATTCTCCTGGCGCCCGCCAGGTGCGTGTCGTTTGCGACCCCTTTCTTCATCCATGTTATTTTGATAGTGACGTTCGTATTGCTGTGTTTACCCCGCGGAAGGCTTTCAAGATAGGCAACTGACCTTTCAGGTCAAAATGATTCAAGATAATCCACCTTGAAAAAATGCCTAAACTTACGAAATCTATTGGAATTTGAACAACAATTTTTAAGTAATTCGTTAGAAATCATCAAGATTGTTTAAGGGGTATAGTTACAACGTAATTGATTCAGAGCACATATATATTGAAATCATATGTAAAAACATATATATTGAAATCATTTCTAACTTTATTTATTATACTTGTAAATGTTATAATTTCACAACTGTGACCTGTTCATAACCAACAGACAAAAAATATGAAACATTGTTTTTAATACATAAGATCGTGGATATCTTTTTTTGTCTTAGAAAAGGAATTATGTATCAAAAAAAATTCTAAACCCAAGTAAATATATTCTTAAACAAGAAATAAAAATGACCAATTTTACAATAACAAAATCAATCTAGCATAAACTTTCTCTTCTCTCTTGAAAAAAAATTGTCAAATTAACAAATTCAAATAAAATGATACAATTTTGCACACTTTGACAACAATATAAAGGGCGCATCAAGCACAGTTTGCAGTTACATGCACTTTCTGAGCACTCATTACAACATTCACTTAAATGGGTGTGTTGCTTGTTGCTCTCTGAATTTACTTTTTAGGTATGCAGGGTCTAATGACCGCTATTTACACTGGAGGATGTCATGACACGCCACCACTGCACATACTCGTTAAAGGGGTGGCTTAGGCACTACCAAAATACTGTCAAGAGCCTCCTACGTCTTAGCAAACTGGGCGAACTTGATGCTTTTCGCTTTTATGGCAAGTTGGTGGCGAAAGATAAGGAGAAAAATAGGAAAGACGATTATTACCGACCTCTCCTTGGAGCCTTGCCCCCACCCAACGGCGCGGCGCTTGCGATGGTCAGTGGGCTGGTGACGCCGAATACGTCTCCGCGCAGATCCGCGTTCTTACACGGCAATGAAGTGTAAGAAATGGACGCCCGTATACCTAGGCGCTGCAGCTTCAATGTCCGTTTCTCTTCTTCGTCCTCGCCACGCTCACCATCACTCCCCAACAGCACACTTTTCGACCTTCCTCTCTCTCTCAAAGCTTTTCCTTCCGTTGCTCCCTACCATTCACAGAAACTACCATTCGAATCTAGAATGGTTGCACAGAAACTACAATTCAATTATGGAAGAAAATATGTAAATAGGAGTTTCCAACCTCTTGCAGAGGATACTGCCTGTGCATTTTAATGTAGTGTTTGTATCTGTGACTAATATATATATATATATATATATATAGTAATATATATATATATATATATATATATATATATATATACGTAGGTCGTTCCGAAATTAATGCCTCCCAATTTTTTTGTGAGCTTTTGACCTCAAAAACAAATGTTTGTGATCTGATAGTGCAATTTGAGTGGCTGTGCCCCCAAAACTAAAAGAGAACACAAAATAGAATAATGCCTTTTGAAAGAAGTAAAATAGTTCAAAACCGTACTACCTAATGCGCAATTCTGACGACAGAGAATGTAACGCTACAAATGCGTCCATGCACTTTACATGAAACATAACTCAACTTGTTTGAGCATTGTTTTCTTTTTCTTTTAGCAAATTCATTTTTATACTACACGTCAAAAAGAAATGAGAACCTTCAATATAACTTGCAACGGGTGCCGTATTATTTACCCTGGAGGCATATAAAAATAATTTTTATTTTTAATTTCGTGTCAACTTTCAGCTATCTCTGAGTGTGGGCACGGTTTGACTTTCATGAAAATAATAATAAAAACTTTCGACATTAGCTTTGTGTCTTTGCATGTAGCATAGAGATAATTCGATTTTCGATTTCTTCTCAAAACATGGAATCAAATCTCAAGTGTCTGTATTGTATCAATTCAACTTGGCCCTTTGAATGAGCGCGATTAAGCCATTCTAAAATAACACTGTGTATGCTGTCGTAAGGCTGCCAACATCTCTTCTTAGAATCCATATTGACGTTTTCTTCCCGATCATTCAAGTAGCGTTTCCGATTGGCAAGAATTGGCTGCACCTGACCTTTACTACAATTAAACTGCTAAGCTAAATCTCGCTGCGCCTTTACCTTTTCGCTTTATCCTTATCACCGATAAGCGAGCCTCGAGAGTAAGATACAGATTTTTGCCTATTTGTCCATTTTTCCCTTCAAATGAAATCGCAATATTTTCGGTCTTTCTTTCTTTTTGGAGCATTAGAAGAATTATATGCGACGTTTGTGGAGCCTATTTCACTAATAAATTATTCTGTGTTTATTTATCAAAAATGTAATAATCTTTAATCAATAGTTTAAAAAATTGAACATTTTTCCTTTTTTATCCTGCAGATTTCGAAGAAATCGAATTATTATCGATGAATGTATACTCGATTTTACTGCCACCACAGTGTGGGTATTTGGTATTATGAAACACGTGTAAAATTACTGATGGTAGTACAGTTATTTTTTACTTTGAATTCTTAAACATTCTTCTACACAAAAATTGCTCCAATTTTTTCTTAAAAGTTCATACTCGTATTATCGAAAGACTGTATAAAAATTGGTGCCTGTTCCATTTTTCACGAACACTGTTCG